GCGGCATTGTATGTAAAATTGCGTTGGAATAAAGTTCTATCATTCCGACAGTACCTCTAGAAAGTAACTATCCCTCCAAGGTATCTCCATATAGTCGAGCTCCACAACCCATCGATGCTAGGTAAACATAAAATGTTACGGTAAGTAAGAATTGGTATTATTTGTTGCATTTTCCATGTCACGATCCGTATCGTAGAAACGTAACATCACACTGTATCATGCGGTTATTGGGCTGTTGTTACTTGAATCCCAAACAGCATGAAGGAATATCGGCAAAATATTACGTGATTTTTTTTTTGTTTCCTGATCCGATGATCTCTATTTTTTCTTCAACAAACGAATTGTGTGGCCCTGAGAAGGGCCGATTTCTAGTTTTGACGTTATTTTCTTATTATTATTATTATTTAGGCTTTCTTCTCTGTCTTTTTTCGGCAATAGGACAGCCTGAATATTCGGAAGAACTCCGCCTTGGGCGATAGTTACGCCGGAAAGTAACTTGTTTAATTCTTCATCATTCCTGATTGCTAACTGCAGATGACGTGGAATGATCCTGGTTTTTTTATTGTCGCGAGCAGCGTTGCCGGCCAACTCTAACACTTCGGCTGCCAAGTACTCCATAACGGCGGCAAGGTACACAGGAGCTCCGGCACCGACGCGTTCGGCATAGTTTCCTTTACGCAATAATCTGTGTATACGACCTACAGGGAATTGCAAACCGGCCCTACTAGACCTGGATTTTGCCTTTCCTTTCACTTTTCCGCCTTTTTCCTCGTCCGGACATGTTTATTTGTTTATTATTTTCTTTTTTGACTTGCGAATCGACGACTACAATCTGCTGTCGTTGACCGAATTAATAGAATAGAATGGCAATGTCTTTAGGTACGAGTATATTTATATAACTACTCCGACCAATCACCGTTTTCGTTTGTCGGTCACCCGTAAGGGGCGGAGTCTATGTCGGTAACGTCGTGGCTGTTAAAGCTCGCCGTTTATCCGCACACCTTTCCATTATAGATCACGATATTGTGTCAGTAAAGATCGTACTTTTGTGTAAATCGAAACGCGATGCCACCCAAAACTAGCGGTAAAGCAGCTAAAAAGGCCGGTAAGGCTCAAAAAAATATTTCCAAGTCTGATAAGAAAAAGAAACGCAGGAGGAAGGAAAGCTACGCAATTTACATCTACAAAGTGCTGAAGCAGGTACATCCAGATACCGGTATTTCCAGCAAAGCGATGAGCATCATGAACAGCTTCGTCAACGATATTTTCGAACGTATCGCAGCGGAAGCATCCCGATTGGCACATTACAACAAACGTGCCACGATAACTAGCAGAGAAATTCAAACAGCCGTTCGACTATTGCTACCAGGAGAATTGGCCAAGCACGCCGTCAGCGAAGGTACCAAAGCCGTAACCAAGTACACCAGTTCGAAGTAATATGTAACTACGACGACAACAACAACATCAACAACAACTTACAACATAAAAACGGTTCTTTTCAGAACCACTAAAGTTATCAAGTAAAGATAATGATATCACCGTACGCGCAACATATATATTATTGGTACTTGAATACCAGATGATTATTCGTGATATACATACACCACTAAAGCAATAACGTCTGATATAAGACCCGACCGGATTATTTAATGGTAAACGAAAGCGTAAAAAAAGGGGATATCCTTACGACGCAATCGACTGTTTAACGTTCATTCGTTTAATTAAACACAATACATACTTATTTATACCCTTAAAAGCAAATATCGATGGTGACGACGCCTAACATTACCACTTGCTTATAAATACCTAATCGTAAACGAATAATACTCGAATTTAATAAAAAAAAAAAAAAAAAAAAACATCAACGCACGTACGAGCCGCAGTTGTACATGTATATTTCGATACAAAATTGCTAATTCGTAAATATTCTGTATCCTTTTTATAGTAATAGTGGTGGCCCTGAAAAGGGCCATTTTCAATCCGCGGGGACGTATAGCATCCTCTCGCATAAATATAACGTCTCGAACCGACGTAGCCGTAATCTACGACGTTGCAACACGTCTAAATTTTTTTTTTTATTTCTTCTTTTTGGGTGAAGCGGCCTTCCTTTTTGGCGATGTTGCAGCCTTCGCCGTTTTCGGTTTTGGTGCTTTTGGCTTCTTGGTCGGAGCTCCCTTGCTGGATTTCTTCGCCTTCGAAGGAGATTTTTTTGCAGCCGCTGCAGAAGGTGCAGCAGAAGAAGCTTTAGCCGACGTCGCCGATTTCCCACTTTTCTTTGTCTTAGCTGGAGAAGCTTTCTTCTCGGCCGCACCACCGGCCACCGCCGGTTTCTTAGCCTTCGGAGATGCCTTCTTCGCAGATTTCGCACCGCTAGCTCTCTTAGCTACGGTTCCGCTCTTCTTTGAGCCGGTCGCGGATTTCTTCTTCTTTTCGCCAACCTTTGCGGCTGACGATGATGAAGTTTTCGACGCTCCGCCAGCCGATGACGAAGCTAGCTTGAACGATCCGGAAGCTCCTTTGCCTTTCGTCTGTACTAAAGCTCCAGACGCGACGGACGATTTTAAGTACCTCTTGATGAAAGGCGCAACTTTCTCAGCGTCTACTTTGTAATTAGCGGCTATGTATTTCTTGATAGCTTGCAGAGACGACCCGCCACGCTCTTTTAATCCTTTAATTGCGTTGATGACCATTTCGCTAGTAGGAGGATGAGACGGCTTCGCCCTCGGATTCTTCGGTTTTTTCTCCTTTTTCGCAGACGACTGCGACGTCGGCGACGCAGAATTCGCGGTAGCCGTAGCCGACGCGGCGTAATTCTGGTTTTCCGTATCTGCCATGTTTACGAGTCGTGAAGAGGAGACAGATTATTGTATACGCGCGATCTTTTGCAATCACTGATCGACGATCTCGCTAAGAGAACGAATGTCGAATGAATGTGAGAGGTAAATTCAGCGTCGTGACCCAAGTCATTTCGGTCGGACCGAACATTGAACGCTCCGACTTTGCAGCGAAACCGATTTCGACGGCTTCAATTCTGCCAAGCCTGCGGTCGTATCTGTTGGTTTTTTGAGTCGCTGATATAATTGCATACGAGCAACAGCTAAAACCTGAACGAATATGAAATCTGCATAATTTGAAATACACATTTAACTTCGCGACTTGATCACGTACGCTACGTACACGATAAAATTATAAGGTGAAACGTGCAAGGTATCCGCTTTGGACCTAATCGTCCGGCTTTTTGATCTAATTTATATTATACGAATACGTTATATAATTAGATATTTCATGAAATTAACAATCTACGACTATTCGTAATACAATTATACTGTCGGTATACGGCTAATGGATAAGGTATTTTAGATAATCGCAATTATACGGAGGTATGTCTGGCGTACATCCGAACGTGCACAGTCGCGAAATATATCGCGATAATTTTAACATTACTCCTGTAATATGACAAAATAGATAATAATATGAGACATCAATCTATTATTCGTAATAAATAAGCCAGAGTAGAAAAATATTATATATAATATACGAGCGATCGAGTTATAAATTCATCTCTTACTACATATTAATTATTAGACGTACGCATTACTGACTTTTGATCTACGTGAAAGTACCTAATGTTACGTATTACACGCTAACAGCCTGCCTAAACGCCTAAGCAATATATACGGCAAAATATCTATATTATGTCGAATTATCTACATTATAATCACATGCTACTTATAAGTTATTTTACTTCCATACACATACATACAATTCGTACGTTATTAGAATAATATCAATGTAACGGTTTACTACAAAGCACCACAATCCTTCGATATAGGATAACGGGTAATAACTAGCGACTATCGTATAACCATTTAGCGCTATTTTGCATACACGATAATAGTGTCGAAATTGCACGCGTACAAACAACAATCTGATATACTTAACATAATACACGATCCCCTTTTTCTGAACATACTATATGATGGTTCTGAAAAGAACCGTTTTTTTTTTTATAACCTATTATCGCACGCCGTACTCTCTCTCTCTCTCTCTCTCTCTCTTTCCGGCAAATAGTAAATCCGTCAATTCCATTAGGCACGTTCGCCCCTAATACGTCTTGCCAGCTGTATATCTTTCGGCATGATCGTTACTCGCTTAGCGTGGATCGCGCACAAGTTCGTATCCTCGAATAGTCCGACCAGGTACGCTTCGCTAGCTTCTTGGAGTGCCATTACAGCAGAACTTTGGAATCGCAAATCGGTCTTGAAATCTTGCGCTATTTCACGGACCAGCCGTTGGAAAGGCAATTTTCTGATCAACAATTCGGTACTTTTCTGATAACGACGAATTTCTCTGAGAGCCACAGTTCCCGGACGATAACGGTGAGGTTTCTTAACTCCGCCAGTAGCAGGAGCACTTTTACGGGCAGCCTTCGTGGCTAATTGCTTCCTGGGAGCTTTACCTCCGGTGGATTTACGAGCCGTCTGCTTGGTACGCGCCATTACGTTAAATTTCAGATAACTGAATATAAATTATCTATATAGCAGCGACGTGAATATTGCAACGGACAATATTATAGTGAGCGGAGGTAAACACCGCGAACAGTTATATTTATATGGGCTCGAAATACGAAACAGTCTGATTGGCCAATTGATAGACCAATAGGAGGGACGACAACGCTAACAAAACCGGGCGTCACGAGAGACGTACCGTCAGTTGGCAACAGCCCGTTCGCTTTAACAGTTCGACGTGCGAGAGAATCTTGAAAATGACTGGACGCGGTAAAGGTGGTAAAGGATTGGGAAAAGGAGGAGCGAAAAGGCATCGTAAAGTTTTGAGGGATAACATCCAGGGAATTACGAAACCGGCCATAAGAAGATTGGCGCGACGTGGAGGAGTAAAACGTATATCCGGATTGATTTACGAAGAAACTCGAGGAGTGCTCAAAGTCTTTTTAGAGAACGTAATCAGGGATGCAGTCACTTACACCGAGCACGCTAAAAGGAAGACAGTCACTGCAATGGACGTCGTATATGCATTAAAGAGACAAGGACGCACTTTGTACGGATTCGGTGGTTAAACACTCCGCAGCAATTACCACGGTACAGGTTGAACGAAAATACAATACAAAGAAAAAAAAAACGGTTCTTTTCAGAACCACCATATACTCTCGTGAGAAAGAATGGATCTGCCGATTGAACCGCCACATTAATTTTCTATTTTTTTTTATACAAAATAAAAAGAAACACTCACATAAATGAGTTTATCGGAATATGAGAAATTGATCGACTTATACGTTTTGGCTCTTTGAATTACAATAATCGACGATTTCGGTCCCGATATGTCCCATTATCGAGATACCGGCGAATATTAGACGTGAATGCGACGATGAGATGCCTCGATTAAATAATTTAGTTATTGCCAACTTCTCGCGCCACAACCGATCCGATATCACCCTGAGAAAATTTTTCCATATACAAATGATAATCCCTTCATTTTCTTATTAAATTACTTGTTGGCCCTGAGAAGGGCCGATTGTATGTTCAGAAGATTTTTTTTTTTAGGCTTTCTTCTCCGTCTTTTTCGGCAAAAGAACAGCTTGGATATTAGGGAGAACTCCTCCTTGGGCAATTGTGACGCCTGAAAGCAATTTGTTCAATTCTTCGTCGTTTCTGATGGCCAATTGCAGATGACGTGGAATAATACGGGTCTTTTTATTGTCGCGAGCAGCGTTGCCTGCCAATTCCAAAACTTCAGCGGCCAAGTATTCCATAACGGCCGCTAGATATACGGGAGCTCCGGCACCGACGCGTTCAGCATAATTCCCTTTTCGCAATAACCTGTGGATACGACCGACGGGAAATTGTAGGCCGGCCCTGCTGGATCGGGACTTTGCCTTTCCCTTAACTTTACCGCCTTTTCCGCGTCCTGACATATTCAATTTGTTAATCTGCTAAACGAACGACGTCGACTATGAACTTGCAAATGCACAACATGATCTCCGCGAACGTTGTATTTATATGAACTAACCGACCAATCGACGCGAACGTTTGCCGGCAAACGCCTGGGGCGGAGTCTACGGTCGTAACGTCACCTGTCTTAAATACGGCCAGAGAATTGCAGTCGTTCCGTCCTCCCATTCAGCAGCCAACCACCGAGGATAGCAGACGTGACCAGTGAGACCGCAAGCGACAAGGCGACACCGAAGCGACGACGCGACAAAGCGACCGATCAGC